TCTACCATTATAGTATCTGTAGGATAGTTTCATTGTCCTAAAAGTCTTCTGTTTTGTCTGTTCTTCTTCTCCTCTGTGTATAATTTTTGTATTTGCCGAGTTTGAGCTTTAATACAGATGACTTTGGATGTTAGTTATTTAAAGATAGAGAATTAGAGGAGGTAAAATAGGATTATATCTAAAGTTTCTGCTGAAAATGATGGGAGATACCATGGCCCAGTGGTAGAATTGTTAGCGAGAGGGAAGCTTTTATTCTTGGTTTTGTTTGGAATAAATAATTAAGTTATTGTGAGCATAAAAATTTTGTAAAAAAAAATCTAAAAGCAACTAACTTGTTCTTTGTGGTTGGGTATATTTCAAAAGAAAATCTAAGCATGGGCTTTCAAATATATAATCTTTGTTCTCTATAATCCTGTATCTAGTCTTTAAAAAAATTATAGGTAGAGTATAATATTGTATTTAGAGTCATCATATCATAGAATAAAGTTTAGGTTTCTTTGGAAAAGGAGACACCAGGTGATATAAATGGCACTGTGATAGTTTGTAATGGAAATTGGATGCCAGTGGTGGGGAGTCTATATGACTCAGTTATCTCCCACTTTAATTCCATCACATCTATTGTATGGCTCCTTATTTGTCTTATTCTTTTTATCTATAATACTTATTCAATATATGATGAGAAGTAAGAATTTTGTAATTGCTGCTTATATGCATGAAAGATGAAGTTAGATGCTCAGGTGAGTAGAAGAAGCTCCTCCTTGGCGACCCTGAGTGTATGTCCCTTACCTGTGGAACCCAGCAGGCTCTGGAGCCTAACTAGCTGTCAGACCTCTAGCCGCCCCACTTCGCCTTTCCTGCTTTCAAGAAAGTGACCAAAGAAAACTTGGTAGTTTATTTTATAACAAAGTCCTGTAATAATAATAATAATAATAAAATGTGTGGCTTAGCTAAGTCAGCTAACCATTGTTATTTTTTAAAAAGTGTTGGTTTTCTTTGTGTTCGTTACTGTATTTCTCAACTGTTGTTGTGCTGCATGTAGGGTGCTGCAGCTGATTCAGAGCAGGCTGCAAGAAGAGCATTCGCTTCAAGACGTGATATTTAAAAGTGCTTTTAAAAGTGCATCAACAGCACTTCCACCAAGGTGAGATGTATTTTTCAACTGTTATGAATTTATTTGGACATAATTTTAGTATTAGTTTCGTTCATTGAGTCTCATATTTCTTAGAGAAACTGTAATCATTCTGTATGATGCTGGCTTTTACATTTGTAGCCTGTGATATGGATAGGATTATCATAAATGATACTCGTTTTCATTTAGTTTTTCTCTTTTATGTATGTATGGCATACCTCCATATAGAACTATTAGATTTTAGGAACAAATTAATTACGTTTACCATTATGAGGAGGTATAAATTTTGGTCAGGAATTTTGTGTTTTTATTTCACTTTTTTTCTCTTCTGATATTTGGGAAATGCTATAAACATGAATATGAATATAAACATGAATAAAAACTGCAGAGTGGTTTTACATTTGTGCAGGAAGCAAATGTCATTGTGTGTTTGAATTTAGATGGCATGCCCTTCCCTGACCTCATTCTTGTTCCCAATTTCCCCTGCCCCTAAAGTGCTAGACCAGGTGATGGAAGTATGTCTTGCTTGGATTAATTCATCACTTTTAATCTTTCTTCTCTCATTGAACTTAGTCCTCTGGCTAGATTTGAAGAACCATGGAATTTTAGAATTATGTAAATATGATACTATAGTAATTATGTAATTTTTTCCCATTTATAGCTGTATGATTTTAAGTAATGTAGAGACTTCAAAAAAAATTGCTATTCTACTCTTGACATTTAGAACATTACCTAAAAATTGATCTTCAGGGATTTTTTTTTCCCACTGTGAAATATTCTTATGACAAAATGATTGAATGTGCTGAAAGTAATCCTGACATATCTTCTTGTAACAGGGAAGATGATTCAGCACAGCCTCCAGATGCTTGCAGAATTCATGGTCATCTATATGTTAATAAAGTAGCAGGGAATTTTCACATAACTGTGGGCAAGTATGTTCTTTTCACTTACTGAAAATATGTTAAAGTTGGCAGTGTTATTAAAAGTAAATTCTTCACTAATCAAATAATATATAACCACCTATTAAAGGACTGCTTAAAATTGTGTGTATTTGTAATTTTGGTGTCCTCCAACTGATGCCGTGGGCTTTAATATAAGGATAGAGACGACTACCAAGTTTAAAAACAAAAATGAAACAGTCATGTCATATATTAATACAAATGAACTTTAGGTAAATGTAAAGTTTATAATTTTATAAACATAAGTTTTAATAGCCAGAAAGCTCTTATCTAGACATTTCGTTAATTTGTTCATTAAATGTAATTGCTAATTAATTTGAGGCAAGTGTTTTGATGCAGTTAGGAATCACTAGTGTCTGCGATAAAGTTAAATTTAGTAAAGTTAAGGAAAAATATCAGACCACCTACCTTCTTGAGCAGCACCTAACACAGAAAGGTCATACAGTGAACACTTGGTAAGTTTCTGAATGAATGGATTCTGTGATTCTCTCCTCCCTCTCTTCCTGCCCTTCTTCCTCCCTCCCTCCCTTCCATCTAGAGTTGCAGAGCTGAACATTTCTTCATTGTTAAAGAGATTCTTTGAGTACTTGCTATGCACCAAGTACCATTCTAGGTACTAAGGATGAAACAGTGAAAAAAGGAGAAAGGGTTTTTGCCCTTTGGTACTGACATTCCGTGAGAGAATCCAAACTTTATAAACGGTGAACAGCACTAATAATTATCTAATTATAATTGTATTGAAGCTATAAAGGAAAAGTATGGCTGATAAGAAATGTATAACAAGGTACCTGACCTCTTAAGTCAGCAGAGGCTTTATTAAGGAAAACCTTTGAACACTTGTGGATGATAAGGTATTTCATATTTAAAGGAAAAAAGGGCATCCAGGCTGAGGGAAAGGCCTTAAGGCAGAAGAGTATGGCTGGAGATTTTATATGTGTAAAAAGAGAGAGTGTTAGGCTTTGATGCAAAGTTATTTCAGTGTTTAGAGTGATCACATCAGGCACTTGTCCTGGTTTCTTTGTCCCACTCATGTTTTGTTGTTCTGTTTCTGTTGCCAGCACCCCTTCTCTCCGTAACTGACCAGCAGCTGGGAACCTTCCAATTCCTATATATCAAACAGGCAACAAATAGTAGTTACCTCAAAGAAATTTAGGAGATTTTATTGCATCTTTGGATACAAAACAGTATCCTACTCTAAAATTACCTGAAAGAGGGAAACTGACAAATATTGTATGAGCCTTTGTATTATGACTTTGACTTGCATTTTCACTTCTCTCTTCATGTGACAACTCATGCCATCAATAAGAGAGGCCAAATGGAAAAGCGTATGATTTTTGTCTTATCCTGACTGTCTCTGGGTTATCTTGTAAGCCCACCTTTATTTTTTTGGTATTAGGTTTGTCAAGTTCAATGTTGGTCCTTTTGAAGGCCTCATACACTCTCAGGCACAGTATTATTCTTAACTATAATATAAAGGAGACAAAAAAAGTATGATTTATAATAGTATGTATTTCAACGTGGAAATGCTTGAGCATGAGTCCATTAGATAAGGTAATGAAGCAGGCATATGCTTGCTGCCTACATGTAGAATCATTAGGTGTACAACTGCTGCAAATGCAGACTGAGACATATATGGCTGCTTGCATATCATGGTGGTATTTATGTTGATCAGGTGATACTGTAAAATAGTGAACAACTCATTGTAATACGCTGAACCAAAAAAAAGTACATATACTATTCCATTTCCTGGGAAATTCAGTGTATGTTGAAACTACAACAAAGTACTTTGTAAAGCTAAGTGGAGTTAAGTTCTAGACTCAGATCTTTATACAAAGGTTTTTCACCTATGGACACACCATTCAGTGTGTTGGGAAGTCATGCAAGATATGGGACAGTATTGGTGTGCATGAGACCAATTCTGTCCTGTTTTCTTTGTCCCACTCATGTTTTGTTGTTCTGTTTCTGTTGCCAGCACCCCTTCTCTCCGTAACTGACCGGCAGCTTGCCTTGCTTGTCCATGAAATGTCAGGAGTAGCTCCTCTCCAGTAATGGTGACTACCAAAAATTCCCACCACTAGCCCCCGCCAATTGTCAAAACAGCCTTTTCTTTACTGAAAATCATGCAGAATAATATATAACATGCAAAATATATCAAATTCAAATTTCAGTGTCCAAAAATAAAGTTTTATTGGAACATAGTCATGCTCATTTGTTGGCATGTGGCTGCTTTGGTACTGCAGCATTGGAGATGAATGACTGGGATGGACTGTCACAGTCGTGACTCTCCCATTGCTTCTTGCTGCTGTTGGTGTACCACAGACTCCAGTGATGCAGTGAGAGCTCGACAGCATGACAAATGCCTGTGTATTGCCATCCTACAGCATTTTATTTATTTCATTATTGCATCAAAAAAAGAAATATGGACTTTTACCACATAATGGAGTGTGGATTGTTTTATGAAATTTGACCTTGGAGCATTGTATGTATTATGCAGTGACACTATAGCTGTGCTAAAAGAATACAATAACTGTCTATGTTACCGGACTACTACATACTCATTAAAAAAGTCCCTAACTCTCAGAATAGAAATGGAAAATAGAATAGAATAGAAAATTTAAAATGGAATATCTAAACACAAGTAGACTTTCTATATAAAAATTAATGAAAATGAGACAATAGCCAGAGTAAGTTTCCAAGTGACTCAGGCATTAGCTAAGTAAGGAAGGCCATTTACTGGTATGAATTGTGTTTGATCGCGACAACCTAAGAATTGCATCCAGGAGGAATAAATTTGCTGTGGATATATAGCCTTTTGAAGTGAGAAAGGCCTCTTAACAGCTGAGGAAATTGAGAACAGTGTCCAATAGTCAAGAAGCAAGGCAGGTGATTTGAGTGATTTCCTTAGCTCTGGATGAGTGACAGGAGTTACCAGTGCTGCTTGTCTTTCTGAGGAACCAGTGCGAATTTGAAGTGATTGAAAAATTAATGTCTATGAATACTGAGTAATGTCTATGAATGTTAAGCACAGAACAGCTACAGGCAAAAATATTTTTAAAGAAGTTGAGAGAGGAGACTCTCTTGCCCCTCCTGGCCTGAGCCCGGAGCTCTGCCTCTTGCTTTCTCTTAATAAAAGCCTCTGCCTTGCTCTCCTAAAAAAAAAAGAGTGCCTAGTACTCCTCAGGTAGGAGGTAAAAAAAGAAGAAGTTGAGAGATCTCACTACTAAACATAGTAAAAATATGTATGAAGCAGAAAAGGCTTACTTGCAAAAGCTTGTAGAAATGTAAGGTGTTTAAAGCTTGTGGTTATTCATTTTCTCATTAGCAGTAATTTGTAGAAAATGTTTGAATTGATATGTATTGAACTAAAATAGTATTGCTGAATTTCATTTCTGTCATGGACTTAAACACTGTCATTTCCATGAACTTTTGTCAGAAGTCAAAACTGAATATTCCAACTTGCCCTTTTGTACAGCAGCTTGACAGCTTAGCAATGGCAGTTTTATTTTGATTTTTTTGAGCTCAGGGCTGAGACAGATTTTTCTGAATAACAGAACTACTGTCAACCATTATTGAATACTGAGTAGCTTTGGAAATTATATTTTATGCAGTGTTTCATAATGAATTTAACCAAAAATAAGGAGAAAAGGAGGACTTATATACAAACATAATGTAGTAAAGTTATTTTAGTGATAAGTAATGTCAAATGATTCTAAGTGGTTTTCTGTGTTTTCCCTGCTTTAACAGTCCACTCTTGTCAAAAGTTAAAACAAGAAGCAAGATCTCTGTTCTTAAACTTGCATATATTTTCCAACCTCAGACTATAGCTCCAGGGTGTTTTCAAACCTTGGAGCAAGTGCAAAGAGAATTTCCATGTTTTCAAAATTCATTTAACTATGAAATTGAGAAAATTCCACCTTCAACTGGAGATGATCAATCGGCAATGTGATGACATGCTACAAGAAAATACCAAGAGAATCTAATTAGAGTTCTGTAAATGCTTTCCAAGCAATGAATATGCTCAATTAAAACATATGCTTATGGATTAATATTTTCCAAGTTAAAAATATGTAAAATTTCATCATAGACCATCATTAATAAATATTTGTGATCAATTTTGAAAATAGGGAACACTAACTCTAAACCCCAATTAAGCAAAATGATGTCTCCTAGCAAAGATACTTGTATTATGAAAATAGTACTCAGTTGTTACTGTTATACTCTGAATTTTATTAATGACTTTGTGAAAATTTGTTTTCTCTTTTGTTATGTAACTAATTACAAAATGGCTTCAGTTGCATCTTGGCCCACAAAGCATAAAATATTTACTGTGTGGCTCTGTATAGAAAATGTCTGCCAGTCCTGAGTTTATTACATTGCTGAGATAAGTAGACTTACCTGCTTAAGTCATCGGCTAAGTATGTTCTTACATTATTTATGTTTTTAATTATGTTAAGATAATTACATAACTTTGGAGAGATCCCCTTTCTGATTTTAGTTATATATTTAAATATTATTACTTTAATCTTTTTTTCCTCCTTTTAGGGCAATTCCACATCCCCGAGGTCATGCACATTTGGCAGCACTTGTCAGCCATGACTGTAAGCAGTTTCTGAAATTTTTTTCCATTATGATGTCCTTGAAACAAAGTATTTTTGTCTTTTTAATTCAGGTGCATTAAACTTTCAAAGGTAGGGCTTTGAAAGTGAACTGTTTTGAAAACAGATATCCAAAGGAGCAAGTCAGTGATTGAGTTTATTGACTTATCCATTTTCTCTCGTCTTTAAGCTACCTGTACTTTTGTTCAGGCATAGCACACAGGCTGCTGATGTCAAGGAAGAAAGCCTTGATTAGTGTGTTTTATACCACTTTGTATACTTTTCTGCTAACTTTTCTGCATAATGAAGAGGGTATCTTTGAGGTTAACTTCAACATGTAAATCTAAATGTGGACGCATACACATATGCATGTAAAGTATTAAGTTAGTTTTGTGTAATGATTGCCATAAAACTTAGTTTTCAGAATTGGCCTTAGAAAACAAAAGTAATATTTTCATAAAAGGTCAGCTTGGTCACATTTAGCAATGGTGTGTGTATTAAAATATATATATGATCAGTTTCTTTATTTGGCTACATGGACATCATCCCAGTTCTAACACACAATCCTATTACTCTATGATGATTTAGAATGAGATAGAACTTACTGTTTTGGTTACCAGGATTAGATGTAATATTTCTTAGAAGTTAATTTGTATATAGTTATGAAATTTGAGATCCAGCATTTTATCAGAATGTACTTATTTAATTCCACATTCATATGCTTTTTTTCTCACAATGATGTGGCTTTAAATACTGTATTATAATACCTGCAGATTTTAGATATTTTCATTTGGCAGTTGATAGGAATGTGAACCAATCTGTAACATAAAGGTTTGAATAATTTCTCCACTTAATTGGTTTTATTTTTTGCCTTTAGCTTACAACTTTTCTCACAGAATAGATCATTTGTCCTTTGGAGAGCTTGTTCCAGCAATTATTAATCCTTTAGATGGAACTGAAAAAATTGCTGTAGATCGTAAGTATCTAAAAATCACTGTTGGAATTTGCATGTAGGCAGTTGTTCTTATAACTTTAATGTTAATACATTTTTAATAGTCCTCTTCCGGACCTCTTTTGTAACAGATAAATCTTTAAGTGGTTTAAATAGTTGATAATTTTTAAATGGACATTTACAGAGAGAAGCTGTCCTAATAGTGGATAAAATTTAAATATTAAATAGTGGATAAAAAGTCATGGAACAGAATAAGAAATTAGAGTTAAAAGCAGGAGGAGTAGAACTGATAAGCTCTCTGATCGTACAGTGGGTGACTGACAGGGCATGACTGCCTTCCATATCCACTAAAGAAAGAACAAGAACAAAAGAAGGCTCACCATTATAAGAAGAATTTTCTTCTTTGTATAGGTTGAGTTCTAAAATGCATATTTTTCATTTTAAAAACCTCTGGAGATTTTATAAACATCAGAAACCCAGAGTTATTCTGGAATGATTTGGTTATTCACAGAGAAGTAGTACCTTATAGCACAGACACCTTTTATTGCTATTTTAACCTTCTTTTCTATGTGGAATTTCAGTTTATTGAAATACGGGTGGATTATTTTCTTTCTGTATCAAGTAATTTGTTCTTGTTTCCTGAAGGGCTCTCATTGCATTGCCTCAACTTAGTCATATGGGATGACGTGCCCCACTTACAAGACCTAATGATGTCTAGAGCTTCCTGTGCTACTAGGAATTCTAGCCTTTGCAAAACTGTGATTAAGGATTTCATTTTCTTGTAATTTAAATATATTTATTAATATTATTCTTAGTATTTTACTCTTTTGGCCTAGTGTTATAATAAGATAAAAACGTTTTACTTAGAATAGTGACTTATATTCATGAGTATTTTATGCTTGTATGGGAATGTTTCACTTAAAGAAACTTGAATGTACTCAATTTGGAAATATGAGAGTCAAAACATTCTGAGAATTAAAGCTTTATATTCAGTGTAATCTTATCTTTAATTTCTGTTCATTCTTTACAGAAATGCACTAAATATTAAGAGATAACTCATTAAAAATATGTTGGTTAATATTTTGTTTCAGGATGCCAAAGTTGAACTATAAATTTTTGTACAGAAGCAGTTCTAAATATAAATAGATTAATTTTTAAAAGGTTTAAGTCTACTTGTTCCTTCATTCACAAAGACAAACAGGTATTTAGTTATAAAATGGCACCAGCAATTATCAGTAGGTTATTCAGAGCTTTTAAAAAGGTGAACTTGTCTCCATCCACATTGGTCCTCTTTTTCCAAAAAGAAAAAAAAAAAAATCAGCATTACAGATCTGTTTCCAGGTCCTCACCCCCTCCTTGATGTTCTCCAGAAGTTTTGAGGGTGTTACTTTGCAGTCACATCTCTAATGCTGTGTCGAGCTAGGCTGATCTACAACCTTTGGAGCTATTTGTGGCTTGCAACAAAATGCCATTTAACTGCTTTCAGCCATCCTCACCCCACACCTACCTGTCCATTAAGTTACCTAACAAACTTAGAGCCTTCTTAAATTAACATTAGACAAATAGGTTTTAGTAGTTACCAATTTTGTTCTGAAAACATTCCCAATTTTTCCTGTCATGTTTCTTTGACCTTTGTTGGTTATTATTCATTGCATGGACACTTTCCTCTTCACATGCGGTGAGATTTCCGTTGTGCTGCATTTTTTCCTCCAAGTCTAATCATCCTACCCATGTATACAGCATCAGTTATTGCCTCACCTCTCAATTTCATCTATTTTTCAGTAAGTACTTAATACCTCAAGACCTTCCCCCTGTACTTTCAGCTTTCTCCGTTTATGACACAGTAGAGTTTATCTGTAAAACACCTCAAAACTAAGCACAATTTTGAGCAATTCACATATCAAAGCACAACTCAAAGGATGAAACTGAAGACCATCTATAAGGAGGAGCCATCTACTGGTGGTGGATGAAGTTGACACCCTTTTGCCTTAATATTATCTATAAGTTATTTTCAATATTGAGTTGAAATTAATAATAAAAGAACTGGTCAAAATTGTTCATGTTTTTTGAAAGTTATGGTGCAAATAATAGGTGAAATAAGAAGTAGTGACATTGAAACAGGTTTTATTTTTTGTTAGAAACTTGTTTAATGTTAGTGTCTGAAGAGACCATTATGCTTACGGTCTCCCTTCTCTTTGCCTTCCTCTCCCCTATTTTGAACGACACTGAGGTACAAGACAGGAAATTAGACTGATGGAAATAAAAACAAAAAGGCTAGACACACAAAAGTGCATAGTGTATACTTGCATTTATGTGAAATTCTAGAATAGGAAAACCAGTCTAGGACAACAGAAGGTGGGTTGGTGTTTGGCCTGGGGCCAGAGATGGAATTGGCTGCAAAGGGGTTTGGAGGAACTTTCTGAGGTGATGAAAATGTTTTATATTTTGATTGTGGTGGTGATCATATGGATGAATGCAGTTGTCAAAATGTATCAAACTGTACATTTAAAATTGAATAATTTTATTCATGTATACACTTTTCCCAGACAATTATTGCCATGTAGTGTGAACTACTTCTGTTTTCTTGTCAGATTTAGTAGGACCCTATTACTTATCTGTTTGCAACTATAGATTAGATGTATCTAATTTTAAATTTTCTAGAATATAGACTTAGAGAATTAACATGTTTTGTATTATGTGAACTGTTAATGGTTTAAAATTAATAGTTGGTAATATGCTGATATTAAACCTAAAATGACTTGCATTAAACCTAGAAGTCCCTAATGACTATATAAATATGATCCTTTTGATTACATAATAACCCCAGGCCATCACCGGGTGGTCTCTCTAGATATCTTCCTGCTGTGGTATCAATTTCTTGTACTTACCTAAAGGCTGCCTAATTCAGTTTTCATTTATTTATATATCTTTAGATACTAGTAGAAATTGAGAACGTATCTTGTTGGTTATATTAGTATAATTTTATGCTTATGAGTTCCTGTATTATAAAGAAATGCTACTTTTATTTTCCATATTTTATAAAAGGATGATAACGATTATAAAGGATATCTAAGTCACTAACTCAGTTTAAACATCTAATAGATGTGTGTAACTATTTTATGCTTACTGAGAACTTGTCTTACCAAGTATGAGTATACTGCTTTCATTAATTCTTTCTCTTAACCTTTTTTGGTCCAATACTAGGTCATAAGTAGTATTAGATTTCAGGTTAAGTGTATTTAATCAAAGGAGAAAGCAGTAATTTTTTTGCTCCTAGATCAATGAAAACACATTTTGATTTTATTCTAGACAACCAGATGTTCCAATATTTCATTACAGTTGTGCCAACAAAACTACACACATACAAGATTTCAGCAGACACCCATCAGTTTTCTGTGACAGAAAGGGTAAGTTGAGTACAAGTAGCAGAATGATTTTTTAGCATTTTATAGTCCTGCTGCAAAAGAAGGTTGGAGTTTTGGTTGGTGCCTTCCTCCATTCAAGATTTGAAATGCATTAGCATTTTATTTTAAGCTAATAAAATATCAGAAATAAGTATTAGAGTGCTTTAGAGCAAGACAAGATTTTTAAAATCTGAAATGTTCTCTATTCAATTACAAAATTATTTAACTATGATGGGATTATTATATTCCTAATATCTTGATTTTGTAATGTTTTCTCATGTATTGGTATGAGCAATTCTTACCTGTCAGCACATTCTGTGATTTCTGTGGTATTTATTTTTTAACTAATGTACCTGCTGTGAAGCACGTGTGGTTACTGTGGCTCAGATAGCAGATGCACAGGGCTTGCCTTCCGAACTTAGTGTCTCGTATTCCTCTAACTGAGAGGGCAAACTCAGGGTGCGCTGGGCTTCTAAATACATTTGACAGCGAGGAGCAGAGTTTTTGAATTGGGCAGTTTTACAGATTGCTCATCTACTCTGAGGGAGGCCATGTTTCCTTGTTACTGTGTTTAAGAATGGTGAATATTCAAATATTAGTATCCAGAAGAGTTCCTAGGCAAAATTTAAGTGCTTTTAAAAAATTGCTTTTCTCAATATGGAGTTTTCTTTTCATAGTCTTCAACTTACCATGACTGTGTCCTCAATAACTGTAGAATTTTTTTTACTCTTAGGAGATTGACTACTGAAGTTTTTAGGAATGAAGTGTCATATGTTTATAACTTTCAAATGGTTCAGGGGAAAAGTCAAGAATATCTGTGTGTGTGCATGTGTGTGTTGTGCTTATGCATACAGAGGGAAGGAAACTGGGTTAAGTGTATATAAGTACATGTTGTGCTTTTCAGCATTTCTGGAGGGTGCGGTGGATGCTGTTTCTCACTAAGATTGGTAACACCTGAGTGTCAGTGTCAGTCCACACAGGGGCAAGGCTTTGGGCACAAGAGGCATGCATGCTTTGCTGTGGGAATGCAAAATGGCATAGTCTCTAAGGAAGAGAGCTTGGCAATATCTGCAGAACGCCGTTGACCCAGCAGTCCCACTTCCAGAAACTGATCCGAAGAAACAGTGGAAAGAATACAAATGATGCCTGTGTGAGGCTATTCATTGTGTTATTTCTAATAGTAGGAAACTAGAAACGGTCCAAATGGTACATCTGCAAATGGAGAAACATGCAACTTTAAAAAGAAAGATACCTATATACTGATATGAAATTATCTCTGGGATATATTTTAAATAACAAGATTAAATTAAAAAAAAAAAACCCAGAGCATTTGACCTTTGAGGGAGTTATGTTTGAGCTGATAAGGTGGCTAAAATTGTGTGTTTCACTTAAAAAAAAATGAAATAACTGGAGTTGGTAAAATAGGGTATAGAGGGAGAGGCTGACCTTTGTTCATCCTGGAACCCAAAGTGAATCATTATTATCAGTCTTTTGTTATATGGACACCTGGACCCCTGGAACAGCTTTTATCCGTATAGGTGGTGACAGTATATTTATAATTTTGGTATGGTATTGAACTGTGAAGCAACTTTAGGATGAAGTCATTTGGTTAGACTTGATCAGTGGCTTATTAGGCTCTGTTGTGATAGGGAAAGGGTTTTGTAATGCCCTATATGGAATTGTTTTGAATTTCCTTCATTTTGTGTATTCTCAAAGCTTTATAGTTCAGTTACACCTTAGTAACCTTAGTAAAAAAAAAAAAAGAAGGGTCTGGCACAGAAGTTGTAACAAAACACTTTGGTAGCAGAGCTGTTTGAGCTATAGAAAATTTATTAGAAAATTTGCAAACTTGATTTTTGAAGCAAAGGAGGGAAGAAAATAGAATATTTTCTTTCTGAGTGTGCACACTGGTATGTTTATGATATTAGTTACATTTCTTCAAAGAAAAAAATCCTTTAAAAATTGAACCAGAGCTCAAATATTGATATCTTTCAAATTAATGCATTTAATTTTCTTCCTTTATTATATCTCATGAAGTTTAAAATGAACAACAAAGTAAAATTGTTTTTAAATATGATCATTTAAATGACAGGAAGAAAACATAATTACTTTGTAAATTCTTACCAAAGAATATTACAAAAAGTATGTTAGGCGTGATCAGTGAAGGATTTGCTATACAGTTATAAGCTCTTGAGCTCAGTAGGAACTTTGTATGTAAAGGGACTTTTTTGAGAAAATAGCAAAGAATGATTTTGCTCTTTTTTGAGAAAATAGGAAAGAATGATTGCTTCAAAAGCTAACCAAACAAGGAGTCCTGAGTGAGTTGATTGTCCGAAGAACCTCGTCTAATCGGACAGTCCGTAGGGGTTTGGCCGTCCCTCGCGCAGCACAGCCGTAAGGCCCCCTGCTTACTGTATGCGAGTAACCAGATGACACGAATGCTGTTTCCTCTCCTCTTCCTCCTCCCCCTTTCCTTTTGCCTTCCTTTTAGGAACGTGTCATTAACCATGCTGCAGGCAGCCACGGAGTCTCTGGAATATTTATGAAATATGATCTCAGCTCTCTGATGGTGACAGTTACTGAGGAGCACATGCCATTCTGGCAGTTTTTTGTCAGACTCTGTGGTATCATTGGAGGAATCTTTTCAACAACAGGTTAAGATTCATTCTTCTTTTGTCTCATTTCTTAAAGTGTTGCTGACAGTGAAATTAAGATGCTTTTACATAAAAAGGGTAGGAATATATCTGTTGTCATATTTTTATATTAAAGAACTTTCCCTTTAAGGTTTAATTCCAAACCACAAAATTAAATTGATCAAGTGTTAAACAGCTAAGCTCACTGCATTCAGTGGTTTAAGGGAGATTACTTAGTAAGCTAGAAAAATCCTAGAATTGAAATCTAAGTTGTGCCTTCTATAGGTCACCTACCTTTTCTGATATTATTTTCTCATCTGTACAATTGGGAATAATATCTAACTTGTAAGGGTGTTATAGGGATAGCTGAGAAAATGCCTAGAAATAGCAGACACTTGATTGTAAATTTTATTTCTCAGTTAAGGTATTTTACAATATGTAAATCGTATCTTATGTTGAGCTATGCAATATGTGAAACCAAATTTTTCAGTCAATCATGTTCTTATGATTTTTGTCCTTTTTGTCCTGAGATAGGATTCTGTCAAAGATAACTTGCAGAATTGTAATCATGAAAATTTGAGCATGAAGTATAATAAAGGAAACAGTTCGTTGTTTATCCCCAACCCCTATTCAGTATTATATTGAGTTTATGTACTTCGAATTATGTTTTTCACATGAGTCTTTGTCACTGTTTCATTTAAATTTATGGGACTGATAATATTTTTCAAAATTATGTAGGTGTGAGATGTGGTAAGCATTCTTGAAAAGAATACTTTGCCAAGGTCATGATTATGTGGCCTTGTGATTTTGAAAGAAATCCATTTAAAAAAAAATTTTAACTGTCCTGTTTAACCATGGATGTGAATAAAGCAAACTTCTTTATTTCCTCCTTAATCTAGTCCATTTTAATTAGTTGGGTATTTTATTCTTACATAGGAATTTAGAAAATAATTTAGGAAATAATTTTATTGAAAGAATAATTTTATTAAAAATAAATTTTTTATTTTAGGCATGTTACATGGGATTGGAAAATTTATAGTTGAAATAATTTACTGTCGCTTTAGACTTGGATCCTACAAACCCGTCAATTCTGTAAGTAGTAGAGTATAAGCAGTGCTGGTCTCCATTATTGTTAAATCTACGTAGTAGCTTTCGGTGCCCAGGACGAGCTTACCTGAAATAAAGCGTCATGTTTAGAGGAACTGGTGTAAGGACGAGAACTAACGCTTTGATCTTTGTCTCTCCCTAGATGCCCTTTGAGGATGGCCACACAGACAACCACTTACCTCTTTTAGAAAATAATACACTTTAGCCCCTCCTGAGTGAAGGAGAAAAACTTTTTGCCTGAGACATAAAACCTTTTTTAATAATAAGATATTGTGCAATATATTCAAAGAAAAAGAAAATATGAATGAGAAGCAGGAATCACACCTAGAAAAAAGAAAGAAAAAAAACCCAAACTGAAATCCTTTATGTGTCGTGTCTGTTACAAATGCCCTAGAAGAAATCTCGCAGCTCATGAGTGACTAAACCCACCGGGAGCGTTGCTTTGAAGACGACCCCTTCTGATGTTCTCACAGCACGCAGGCAGTATTGAAATCAGACCTTGCTTCTTGGTGACAAACAGCCTGAAGGAAAGAGGCCAACCATCTAAAGAAAATTGCATTGATAAGTGCAAATGTTTGCATCCTTTTGTTTTTAAAAGATATGATGTCGGAATAAAATATGTAAAACATATTGAATACTAGTCTAGACTTTACAAAGTTGTGATGAGCTCACATTGTTAATAAAACAGGGATGGCCCCCTATGTTATAGCCATATTAATGTGAAGCCATAATGACGAGACCATTTATCCAGTATTTGGTTTTATGGAAGGTAACTGCTTTTCTTTAAACTTTGGCTATTGACTTTTCTAGCTGTTCAAGGCAGGGTGGTGGCAGACTAAAGTGCGTTCTTACAGGGGCAGGTACTTTGGTGCTGTGACATGTAACAGAGGTGTCATCCACAGATTGTATCATGGACACTTAGACATGGAGAAGAAAGTACATTTTTTAAAAAAGATACTATGTTTCCTAATCTGATCCTTCTATTATTGATATACTTTGTGGGGGGACGACTAAAAATGCACTACTGATGGTGAAAATTACCAGCTTGTAAAATATTATGAGAAGTAGAAAATTTTATACATGTGTTAAGTGGGCATGACGGGTAAATTTAAGATGAAAATGTGAGGCACATATTTAAGTAAGACACGGTAATGTCAGATCTGAGGTATTATCCTGCGAAATGATGTGTGTGAAAACATAAAGCCGGGTTATGAGAGGAGCATCTTCAGCCAGTGTCCTGAATGCGGTTGATGCTGTGCTAGGTCGAGTGGTCTAGCCTCTTACTATGTAAGGGGTGGTTTTAAGTTTCCAGACTGCAGAAGGTTAAAAATAATGAGATGGAGGTGCCACTCAGGTGCCACTAAAAGCTCTATTTAGAATATGTGTGCCAATATCACTGTTCCTTTTGTAATACTTAGTGATGAAAGAATCATCAGCCAGTCCCCATGGTTTAAATCACACAGGGAAATGGAGAAAAAAAATGCTAGGTAAGTAACAAGGACCAGACTAAAAGACAAGATTTAAAACGGTGGTTTTTAGACAACAGGATGTCACAAGTTAGAGTTAAAAAAATTTTTTTTTTAAGGGAAGAAGGAATGTTTTCCTTAAAACAGCTGGGACAGAATGTAATGGAGAGGAGAAATCCTGATAAAACTACTTTGCAGTAAAACTTACGTTGAATGGTATTTTGCAGAAAAAAACATGCGTCATTGGTTAAAATACATAGTTTATCATTAACAGCCATTAAGTTAACTGATTAATACAGGTGACATGCTTTGAAAGATTTTTGAATCCAGGGAATTCCAAGTAATGAATAAGCCTTCTCTGTTTTTTATTTCTTTTCGTTACCTATTACTTCCAATGAAGTCAGGCTAGGAACTAATGTAATAAATAGAACATCTTTTGAGAGGAATTTTATTTAGAGAAAATTAGAATTTTAGCTGTTCTGACTGAATATTGGTTCTGTGAGTGTCAGAAAGCTCAGTCAAGTTTCAGGGTTTTTTTTAATGGGAAGAAAAACAATACTGATTTAGATTATTTTCTTTCAGTTAGGATTATAACAGGTATCTTTTTAAAGGATTTTAAAATTTATTTTGGTATTTATATATTATTTTTGTTTCCATGTTTTCCAAATACCATGTTAAAATTTTAATGGAATTTATCCCCCCCCCATTAAAACTGCCTATAAAAGGAATTTCTTTAAAGCAAAATCCTGCTTTGCTGTTGGTTTCCATTTTAGAAATTAAGAAAGGTTTCCACCCGAAACTTGAATTGTCAGGGTCAGTTTTTGGCAAAGTATTAAGATTCTGACCAGCTCTTTGAATGATGGGTGGTGATGTGTATGTGGATATTAAGACTTGTTAGATTTTGATCTCACCAGGTGTTTCTTTTCCTTTGCAGAGAAACTGTGCTACCTGCCTGTTACGCAGTTCTGGCTTGTGGCCTGGGAGGGGCCTTGGGGGCACCTCCAGTAGGATAGACAACTTTATCACTCGGTCCTTTTCATTTTATTAGGGTATTCATGTATTCACATGCCTAGAGATTTCAAAAGTTAAGATCTCAAATTACATGGAGTGGATTTTTAAAAACAGTATTTGCATACATTGGCTTATAAAAAAAAGATGAAATTCTCTGCTATAGTATTTGTGCACTTCAGACTGCCTCTTGGGGAAAGCTGGACTATCAGAGTTACAAGATCATTACTAGTTCTCAGCCTATGTGATTAATACCACACTTTTTGCATATACATTTTATGATAGCACTGAACTTTTATAATAATTTACTGGTGCAAACAAAGTTTACAATCTTTAATACAATCTTAACTTTGGAACTTGTAAGACTAAGCTCTCCTAATTTTTTTTTATTATTATTTTTATGTTTATTTTGGTATCATTAATCTACAGTTACATGAAGAACATTATGTTTACTCTCCTAATTTTTTAATGGTGTAAGTAGGGACATCTTATGCATTGCCTTTTTATGTCTTGGGTTAGTAATTGAAGTACCAAAAAGTAAATTTATATGCAACTCCTGTACTTCAAAATTTAAAACTTTGAATTTTGAACTTGAGCTCAAGATGCATATTTTTGATTATTTAAAAATTACTTAAACCTGAGCATTAGGTTTAAAATCTCATCATGCCCTTAACCTGGTTGTACTTAGGTTCTTCTCCTCGTTTGGACTGTAGCAAACCTTCAGCACGCCTAGGTGAGTCGCCCTGTGTCAGCTCTGTCCAAATAGAGAGAACATCGTTTTGTTCCCTACCTTACCGTGTGAGGCCTGGATTAATATCCGAGTATTTCCTTATTGTAGTTCGCCCTCTACCCCTCTTGAAACATTTCTTGATTAATGAAATCACTTTTCATTATTTTAAGAGTAGGAAACAAACTGTCTTGGAGTTACTGGTTTTCTTGTAGTTTTTTTGTTTATAAAGGGAGGAGGGAGCACAAAAGACTTAAGTGTCTCCATCCTGAACATTTTGACTAAATTATAAAATAATTTCTTGGTCCTTTTAGAATCATGTGCCCCCAAGTAAGACTCAGTTCCTCATATTTAAGGAATATGAGGAATATTTATTTTTCCTTATACGAAAACTACAGCAATCTGACTATCACTGGATTATATTTGCATTTGCTCCAGATGGGAGCTAAGCTACTGTATGAGATTGGATTTATATGTTTCATATTAAAAATGAAAATTGAGCAGTAGACTCATCTATAAACCTGTAAACAGTTGAGTTTGATTATAATCAGCAGAACATTTACTTTTGTTTAGCAACTCCAAATTGTATCGGATGTTTATCAAAAGGAATTAGATTAGCAACTTCCAAATATCAAAACTCATGTTGTTTTGTGTAATTCAAAAATTTTTTTACATGAGCAACATTGTTTACTAGACTCCCCCCATCAAGTCCCCCCCACATACCCCATTACAGTCACTGTCCATCAGCGTAGTAAGATGCTGTAGAATCACTACTTGTCTTCTCTGTGTTGTACAGCCCTCCCCGTGCCCCCGCTCACATTATGTCTGCTAGTAGTAATGTTTTGTGTAATTTTAAGGTAAACTCAGAGTAAGAAAGTGTGAGAAGTATAATTTCATATGAAATTATATATAAATTACATATATATGAAATATACTTTCATATTAATGAAAGCTATATAAGCAGACTTTCGAGCAACAACTCATAAAACTAATAAATACCTTGTAAATTCTATTGTTTAGAAGTAGTTACGCAAATTAACTTAATTTCTTATACTTCAATTTCTTTGAAGTATTTTTCTAGAATTGATGAAAATTGTCCAATCTCACATCTCCCAGCCATTTGCAGTACCAGGTTGGAATCGGTATTTCAGGTAATACAGGGACACACCTAAATTGTTATTTGTGTATGAGAAACCTATTTCTAGCTATTCAAACCCAAGCATATTTTGCCATAACTCTGTCTACACTTCACTGGGCACGAGCAGCTCTCAAGCCAGTTACATCTTGAAACCAGCAATTGCTAGTTTTATTTTGTTAAATTTTTTAAAAGTACTTTTAAAACATAATCTAGGTGGAAAGTATTTCTTGGCACCTCTGGGGGTATATGGGACAGCATTACTAATTCTTGACTATTGCTTATGTTCCTAGAACATAATTATTAGATTTGCAGTTCTAGAACAACAGCCATGTAGAAATTTGCATGTGATTCCTGTGGACTTGGAAAATCACTGATATTTTTTTTTTTTTTTTTTGGAAACGTTAGGCTGACCTACTTTGTCATGTTCATTGTGAGGTAAAACACTAGTTGGGTATTAGTCTCTTCTCAGATCACTCAGATTCTGAATAAGCTACTTAAATGAGGTGTTAACTGGAGATGATAATGTTAGGTCAGTATAAAATTGTGAGAAATGTTTTTCTGAGTTGTGTGCCCATCTGCCTCAACTTTTTCTGGTATTAATTGCCTAGGTGTTGACTGTCTTCAACTCTAATATTCATTATTGAATCAGGTACCTTGGGGGTCTAGAGTATAGGGATGACCAAAACTTTTTAAACATACTTAACCATCCCCTTCTCCACAAGAGTAGGTCTTTTTCTCTTTGCATTGTGTATATTAGGCACTCAAATTGTTCACTGATGATACAAAATAATCAGGGATTTTCTTTCATGCAGATACCTTCGTTTACTGATGAATCGTTCCAAGAGAACTTTATTCCTGTCACGTCTCTAATGTCACAGATAGAACGTGCTTTAGCGTGCAAACGTAACCCGACTAATGGCGTCAGAGAAAGTGAAGCATTATGTGCCTATGTGTTAATTTATATTCATCTGGTAGGTTCTTTTTGGACGATTGTATCCTTTTTCTTGGGGTGGAGGGAGAGAGATCTGTTGCAGTAGTTAGCACTTAAAAGATAACAATACTAGAAGAGAGGAAAACATTTTTTAATTCAAATTTTCATTTATAATCAAAAGTGAAAATGTGAACATTTGGTCAATGTAATTTATTGAATTGGTAAACTATACAATCATCAAAAGATAGTAAATTCTCAGAACTGTGTTATCCAATCTCAATTATATCTTGATTTCATTTTTATCATATCTTAGTTTAAATCAGTAACTCAAAAGTATTGTCTAGACATCTCAAACTAAAGATCAA